GGGGAGAGGCAGGGAGGAAGCAACTTACCCTCCCTCTTCTCCTGCCTCCTCCTGGCATGTGCCCCGCCCCCCGTACCTCACCCGGGGAAATTGCGATCCCCCGCGATCCCCCCCCCGAAATGACCTCTGCTGCTATCCTTTCCTCCCACCCCGAGCCCATTTCACTGTGAACGGCAAAGTGACACGGACTGGTGTTTTAATATCTGGGTCCAGGGCTTTTTTTGTAGAAAAAGCCCAGCAGGAACTCGTTAGCATAATAGGCCACACCCAACAGCAGGAACTAATTAGCATATTAGGCCACACCCCTGACAGCACAGCTCATTCGCATATTAGGCCACACCCCCGTGTTACCAGAAGTGTGGTCACCCAGCCACACCCACCTTTTGCTTCTTATTCTCTTTACCTTGCTTGTTGTCAAAACCCAGGGCCTTTTTTTGTAGCAGGGACTCCTTTGCATGTTAGGCCACACACCCCTAATTGTAGCCAATCTGAATGAGTTCCTACTGTTGGGTGTGGCCTATTATGCTAAAGAGTTCCTGCTGGGCGTGGCCAACTTGGGAGCCAGCCGGAACTCCGTTCCTGTGCGTTCCGCCCCAAAAATAGCCCTGACTGGGTCCAAAATTAAGCCGAAGAAGTGGCCGGCCGTGTACCATAAAAGCGCAGCTTCTACTTACGAAGCTGTGAATGCGCTGGTGAACAAAAGAGAAGGAGGGGAGGAGACAGCCGAGAGCGGTTTATGGCGAGGGTTTGCCAGCTATGGGTTGGGAAATTCCTGAGTTTCGGGGGTGGGGGTGGAGCCTGGGGAGGGAGGGGTTTGGGGAGAGGGACCTTGACAGGATATGATGCCATAGAGTCCACCCTCCGAAGCAACCATTTTCTCCCCCGGGGATTGATCTCTGTAGTCTGGCAATCAGTTGTCATTCTGAGAGATCTCCGGGCTCCACCTGGAGCTTGGCAACCTGAAGTGGGAGCAAGCAAGAGAAAAGAAGAGAGAGGAGCGATTGGATTGATACCCGGCCCTTCGCTACCTGAACAAGTCTCAGAGCAGCTTACAATCTCCTTCCCCTCCCCACAACAGACACCCTGTGAGGTAGGTGGGGCTCAGAGAGCTCTTTCAAGGACTGCTCTTGAGAGAACAGCTCTGAGAGAACTTGTGACTGGCCCAAGGTCACACCAACAGCTGCATGTGGAGGAGTGGGGAATCAAACCCGGTTCTCCCAGATTAGAGTCCGCGCTCCTATCCACGACACCAAATTGGGTCTCTCAAAGAGGGCAGGCAAAGGTTTAGAGTTTTAAGAGAAGAAGGACAAAGAGTCGGAGTCTCAGAGCGGCTTACAAACTCCTTTCCCTCCCCCTCCCCACAGCAGACACCCTGTGAGGTAGGTGGGGCTGAGAGAGCTCTTTTGAGAACTGTCCTTGAGAGAACAGCTCTGACAGAACTACGGCTCACCCAAGGTCATCCAGCTGGTGCAAGTGGAGGAGTGGGGAATCAAACCCAGTTCTCCCAGATTAGAGTCCACACACTTAACCACGACACCAAACCAAAAAGGAATGCAGTTGGGAACAGTGTTCTCTCTAAGCTGAGTTAGTGTGAGCTAGCTCACAGTTTTTTTAGCCTCCAGCTCACACGTTTTTGCCTTAGCTCAGGAGGGGATGGCTCCAGAGCAAACTCAATTGATGCAGCAGCCAAATCGCTCGCTTACCACTTTAATGCCAGTAGCTCACTGAGAGCCAGTTTGGTGTCGTGGTTAAGTGTGCTGACTCTAATCTGGGAGAACCGGGTTTGATTCCCCCACTCCTCCACTTGCACCTGCTGATGTGACCTTGGGTCAGTCACAAGCTCTGGCACAGCTGTCCTTGAAAAAGAGCAGTTTGTGTCAGAGCTCTCTCAGCCCCACCCACCTCACAGGGTGTCTGTTGTGGGGAGGGGAAGGGAAAGGAGCTTGTCAGCCGCTCTGAGACACCTTTGGGTAGTGAAGGGCGGGGAATAAATCCAATCTCTTCTTCTTCTTCTTCTTCGCAGAGTAGAATTTTTGCTCACAAGACTCCACAGTTTAGAGGGAACATTGGTTGGGAATAGTGTCTGGCTGCCTGAATTCAGCTGCTACCGTTACCTGAGCTTTCGAGGGTGAAAGCTCCTTCCGTCAGGTACCTAGGTATCTATCGAAAGGTGTTTCAACTCTCGAAAACCCGTACCCCGAAAGTCTCATGGATCTCCAAGGTGCTACTGGAGTCAAATCTAGCTATTCTACCCCAGACCAACACGGCTCCCCTCTGAAACTAGATTATTCTTCTGTTTCTTCTCCCTCCCCCACTGCATTTCCCCCCCCCCCAATTCTAGGGGCACATTCATTGTGTACAAGGACGGAGATGTGACTCACCCAATGGTCCGGGAGCGCCTCTGGCTGAACAGCGAATTCAACTTCGACAACGTCCCCGCGGGCATGATGGCCCTCTTCACTGTCTCTACTTTTGAGGGTTGGCCAGCGTGAGTCACTCTAGGGGGGGGACTCTGTGTGCGTGCGCGTGTGTGTGCGTGTGTGTGTATGCACGCTTGTTGTGTGTCTCTGACATCCTTTCAAAGAAACCCTTTCCTGATCTGAACCCTTCCTGGATTTCAGTTCCCTGTTCCCCGCATCCCGCACTTTGTCCACCATCTTATTTATAAAGATGACGGCTCTTATTTTGCCGTGCTCAGCATGTCTTGGTGCCTTGCCTTCTTGTCCTAAAAAGGAGGGTTCTGTGACAGTCAGTGACTAGTGATTCAAATGCGGGATTAGCTGCCGGACGATGTAGTGATGACCACAGGCATAGATGGCTTTGAAGGGGGATGAAAAAATCTGGACAAACACGACCCAATCAGTTAAACAAGTATAAAGCCAACAGTCGTGCTAGTCTGACCCACAATCAAACAGTCATAAGACTTATAAAGAATGCTGTTTATGTATTGCAGTCTAAAGCACTACAACATGATACAAAACCCTGAATCCTGGTGCCAGGAGGCAACAGCTTGATTGCCCCCCCGCCCCCGAGGTTAGCTGGTTGGCCCCTGTGTGAGACGGGAGGCTGGACTAGAGGGCCCCTCCCTGGTCTGACCCAGCAGGGCTCTTCTGATATTCTTATCAGGGGAAGGCCTCGGCCTCTCTGCCCTGTTGCTGGCCCTCCAGAGGAACTGGCTGGCCTCTGTGTGAGACAGGAGGCTGGACTAGAGGGACCCTCCCTGGTCTGCCCCAGCAGGGCTCTTCTGGTGTTCCTATCAGGGGAAGGCCTCAGCCTCTCTGCCCTGTTGCTGGCCCTCCAGAGGAACTGGCTGGCCTCTGTGTGAGACAGGAGGCTGGACTAGAGGGACCCTCCCTGGTCTGCCCCAGCAGGGCTCTTCTGGTGTTCCTATCAGGGGAAGGCCTCAGCCTCTCTGCCCTGTTGCTGGCCCTCCAGAGGAACTGGCTGGCCTCTGTGTGAGACAGGAGGCTGGACTAGAGGGACCCTCCCTGGTCTGCCCCAGCAGGGCTCTTCTGGTGTTCCTATCAGGGGAAGGCCTCAGCCTCTCTGCCCTGTTGCTGGCCCTCCAGAGGAACTGGCTGGCCTCTGTGTGAGACAGGAGGCTGGACTAGAGGGACCCTCCCTGGTCTGCCCCAGCAGGGCTCTTCTGGTGTTCCTATCAGGGGAAGGCCTCAGCCTCTCTGCCCTGTTGCTGGCCCTCCAGAGGAACTGGCTGGCCTCTGTGTGAGACAGGAGGCTGGACTAGAGGGACCCTCCCTGGTCTGCCCCAGCAGGGCTCTTCTGGTGTTCCTATCAGGGGAAGGCCTCAGCCTCTCTGCCCTGTTGCTGGCCCTCCAGAGGAACTGGCTGGCCTCTGTGTGAGACAGGAGGCTGGACTAGAGGGACCCTCCCTGGTCTGCCCCAGCAGGGCTCTTCTGGTGTTCCTATCAGGGGAAGGCCTCAGCCTCTCTGCCCTGTTGCTGGCCCTCCAGAGGAACTGGCTGGCCTCTGTGTGAGACAGGAGGCTGGACTAGAGGGACCCTCCCTGGTCTGACCCAGCAGGGCTCTTCTGACGTTCTTCTCAGGGGAAGGCTCTCTGCCCTATTGTTGGCCCTGCCCAGAGGAACTGAAGTTGTGGAGGTAAGGTAAGGGGAGATGACGAGCCAACAGTAGAGTCTTCACAGGCCGCATATGGCTAACTGTCACATACTAGAGACTACGGGGAGGCAGGGGTCGTTTCCTGCAGGAGCCCACAGGAGTGGAGCTCCAGCAGTAAAGAGCCCAGGGGGCGGGCACATGCAAGAAGCTCCACCCCCTGCTCCCGGCAGCCCTCAGTCAGAGCAAGAAGCAGCCAGGTAAGTTACAGAGCCCCACCCCGCCCCCCGGTCCAAAACAGTCCAGTGGCACCTTTAAGACCAGATTTTATTCATGTACAAGCTCTCCCTCCTCTGTGAGGACAGAACTGCATGTTCCCCCCTCCAATAGCTAGCCATCCAAAACAGTCCAGTGGAGCCTGAGCGATGGGTGTTGCCTTCTGACACACTTCCGGTGATGTCAGGGGGTGTGGCATATGCAAATAAGTTATGCTAATGAGTTATGCTAATGAGCTCCTGCACCTCTTTTTCTACGACATGACCCCTGAGGGGAGGGGAATGTATATTAGCAGCAGTTAGGGTTGCCACCTCTGTGTTGGGAAATACTTGGAGATTTGGGGGTGGGTGGAGCCAGGGTGGGAGGGGTTTGGGGAAGGGAGGGACCTCAGCCGGTTATAATGCCATAGAGCCCACCCTCCAAAGCAACCATTTCCTCCAGGGGAAACTGATCTTGGTCATCTGGAAATCAACTGTAACAGCAGGAGGTCTCCAGGCCCCACCTGGAGGTTGGCAAGCCTGCCAGCAGGCTCCTCTCAAGCACCTCCCTGAGGCATCAGACCCAGGGATAAGTCTGAGTGACGAGGACTACAGCTGGCACCAGAAACTGATGGGACCAAGACCCATTCAGCGGCCCATCTAGGGCAATGGTTCCCAGCCTTTCCGATACGGTGACTGAGAAGTCCCACATTTACTCAGCACGGTGACTCAAGGTTTTTTGGCACCCTAGGCAAACGATGACCTTGGTGCCCATTTAGTTTAGCATTCCATTCGCTACAGGGGCCGACCAGATGTTTTTGAGAAACGACAAACATTCCACAGAGGGGAACCCAAAGCAAGTGACATTCTGACACACACACACACAGCCTTTGCAAATGGAGGTCACATTCCATCCTCTCCGTCTCCATTTCTCCCTCTAAGCCCCCCTGAACATCCTCTCCTTCTCTATTACATCTCCTGCTCCGTTACTCCAGGGGCGGATGAAGGCTCACTGGTGCCCTCAGCACTGACCAATCTCGGTGCCCCCCCCTCCTTTCCACACTGACCCAGTCCCATTTTAGTGGTTGGCCTCTCTGACCAGATAGACAATGCAGGTTGCAGCAATACAAAAACTTATTCATAGGATAACACGATAGACTTTACAAACGAAGCTTTTCACCCTTTTCGCAACTTTGTGGTGCCCCCTTTGGCCCTGGTGCCCTGACACGTGCCTAGTCTGCTTAATGGTTAATCCGCCCCTGCGTTACTCCCTCTAATAACCCCCCCTAAGAAACTCACTCTAATAACCATCAGGAGACATTTCACTTGATCGATATGCATACACAGTGGGGGGGAAATACAAACTAATGTATGACGTGGGAGTGTCAAACATAAGGCCCGGGGGCTGGAACCAGCCCGTCCATAAGCAACTGGCATGTATGGAAATGTAGGGTACTCCCCCTTTATAGTATCCCTTGGCGCAGGGGTCATTTCGTAGAAAAAGTGGTGCAGGAGCTCATTAGCATAACTCATTAGCATAACTTATTTGCATGTGCCACACCCCCTCACCAGAAGTGTGTCAGAAGGCAACACCCACCGCTCAGGCTCCACTGGACTGTTTTGGATTGCTAGCTATTGGTGGGGGTGGGGGTGGAACGTGCAGATCTGTCCTCACAGAGGAGGGAGAGCTTGTTCCTGAATAAAACTTGGTCTTAAAGGTGCCACTGGACTGTTTTGGACCAGGGGGCCGGGGGGGGGCCTCTGCGGCTTACCTGGCTGCTTCTTGCTCTGACTGAGGGCTGCTGGGAGTGGGGGGCGGGGCTTGTTGCATGTGCCTGCCCCCTGGGCTCTTTACTGCTGGAGCTCCGCTCCTGTGCGCTCCTGCAGGAAATGACCCCTACCTCCCCGTAGTCTCTAGTATGTGACAGTTAGCCATATGCGGCCTGTGAAGACTCTACCGTTGGCTCGGCATCTCCTCTTACCTTACCTCCACAACTTCAGTTCCTTGCTACTTTCCCTATGAAGAAAGGTTAAAACACTTGGGGCTGTTGAGCTTGGAGAAACGACGGCTGAGGGGTGACATGATCGAGGTTTACAAGATTATGCATGGGATAGAGCAGGTAGAGAAAGAAGGACTATTCTCCCTTTCTCACAATACAAGAACTCGTGGACACTCCATGAAATCGCTGAGCAGTCAGGTTAGGACAGATAAAAGGAAGTCCTTCTTCACCCAAAGAGTGATTGACACATGGGATTCACTGCCACAGGAGGTGGTGGCGGCTACAAGCATGGACGGCTTCAAGAGGGGATTGGATAAACACATGGAGCAGAGGTCCATAAATAGCTATTAGCCACAAGGTATAGATGGAGACTCTCAGTCTGGGGCAACGGATGCTCTGTATTCCTGGTGCTTGGGGGGGCAACAGTGGGAGGGCTTCTAGTGCCCACTGCTGGACCTCCTGAGGGCACCTGGTATTTTTGGCCACTGTGTGACAGAGTGTTGGACTGGATGGGCCATTGGCCTGATCCAACATTGGCTTCTCTCATTGGCTTCCCCACTTCATCCCAGGCTGCTGTACAGAGCCATTGACGCCAACGATGAGAACAAAGGACCCATCTACAACTACCGGGTGGAGATCTCCATCTTCTTCATCGTCTACATCATCATCATCGCCTTCTTCATGATGAACATCTTCGTGGGCTTCGTCATCATCACTTTCCGAGCCCAAGGGGAACAAGAATACAAGAACTGTGAGCTCGATAAGAACCAGGTACCTGTTTTCCCTCTTTGATGACCAGCTGCCTGTTGGGGGGAGGGTGGTGGAAGGATCCCCATAGGGTTTCCAAGGCAATAGACGTTCAGAGGTGGTTAGCCATTGCCTGCCTCTGCATCACAACCCTGGTATTCCTCGGAGGTCTCCCATACAAATATTAGCCGGGGCCAACTCTGCTTAGCTTCTGAGATAAGACAAGATCGGGTTAGCCTGAACTATCCAGGTAAGGATCCTATCGGGGGATAGGTATTAGTTAATATAGCAGAGTTGCCCAGTCATTTTCCTCACTTTTGAGTTCCCGTTTGTTCGGGGGTGGGTGGGTTCTATTCCGCACGTGTTTTGCTTCCTTTAGCGGTTGATTCAGTATTACATCGCTTTATTACACTGGTTTAAATCTGCAGGCAGATATGCTGGAAATAAACTGGCGTAATATAGAATTGACCACTAGAGGGAGCAAAACCCATGCGGAACAGAAAACTTCCCCCCCCCCCCCCCGGAGATCCCCTGGAATCACAACTGCTCTCCGGACTGCAGAGAACAGTTCCCCCGGGAGAATACAACTGCTTTGGAGGGGGACTCTTTGGCATGATACCATGCTGAAGTTCCTCGCCTCACCCAACCCCACCCACCCCAGACTTCACCCCCCCCAAATCTCCAGGAATCTCCCAGCTTGGAGCTGACAACCCTGTGTGACCAGCCTCTTGGTGTGTTGATGAGGAAGCTCCTTGAAAAAGATAAAAGCCCAGCTCAGGTGTATCAATGGACTGAAGAACTTAGAACTTTCTCAATTTTTGAACGAAAGGCATATAGGTGGCCAATGTTCCCTCTAAGCTGTGGAGTCTTGTGAGCAAAAATTCGACTTTGTGAGCTACTGGCATTATAGTTGTGAGCAAACGATTTGGCTGCTGCATAAACTAGTTTGCTCAGGACCCATCCTTCCTGAGCTAAGACAAAAATGTGTGAGCTGGAGGCTAAAAAACTGTAAGCTGGCTCACACTAACTCAGCTTAGAGGGAACACTGACTGGCATTGGAGTTGTGAGCGAGCGATTTGGCTGCTGCATAAACTAGTTTGCTCAGGACCCATCCTTCCTGAGCTAAGACAAAAATGTGTGAGCTGGAGGCTAAAAAACTGTGAGCTGGCTCACACTAACTCAGCTTAGAGGGAACACTGTAGGTGGCAGTTGCGTATAGACTTTTTTTGGTAATTGTGGTGTGTGTGTGTGTGTACTGGAAGTCACATTGACCTCTGGTAACTGACCCCTTCTGGGGGCCTTGGAGGATATTCAGAGAGGTGGGGGCCTGCCCCATCCTCTCAACATGGTATTCCAAGGAGGTCTCCCATCCAAGTACTAACCCCAGTCAACCCTGCTTAGCTTCTGAGATCGGACAAGATCGGGCTTGCCTGGGCTATCCAGGTCAGGGTGCACAGGGACGTATTTTTCGATCGTCGGAAACCGTTTGAAGGTCCCGGTCACACGCGTGAGATCAGGGCTATTTTTGGGCAGGAACGCACAGGAACGGAGTTCCGGCTGGCTCCCAAGTTGACCACGCCCAGCAGGAACTCATTAGCATAACAGGCCACACCCAACAGCAGAAACTCATTAGGATTAGCTACATTAGGGGGTGTGTGGCCTAACATGCAAAGGAGTTCCTGCTACCAAAAAAGCCCTGGGTTTTGACAACAAACAAGGTAAACAGAATAACAAGCAAAAGGTGGGTGTGACTGGATGACCACACTTCTGGTATCGTGGGGGTGCGGCCTAATATGCTAATGTGCTGTGCTGTCAAGGGTGTGGCCTAATAGGCTAATGAGTGTCTGCTGTTGGGTGTGGCCTATTATGCTAATGAGTTCCTGCTGGGCTTTTTCTACAAAAAGAGCCCTGCGCGAGATAACGCGCGGGGGAAAGCGAGGCTATTTACCCCGGAGGAAATTGACCCGCAGTTGCGCGATCACACAGTTCTTTGAAGCTGCGGGCATAGCCCGCTGCTGCGTGATCAGACGCAATCGCAGGTGAGTTGGGGTTGGTTTGTTTTTTGCGGTTTGGTTTCGGTTTGCTTAAACGGAGGAGCAACGAATCGCATCTGCACACTGAGGGCTTCCTGCGGCAGTATGCAATGATGTGCATACTGGGAAAGGGGGAAAAAACAACGGCACAGAGTCGGGATGGCCTGACCAGACCATCCCGATGCCATGAGAGCGCGCTGGAGCGATCACACACAGGGGAAAGTCTGTCTGTGGTCTGTAGCAACCCGTTTGGTACTGGACTGTCCCCAGTATTTTTAAACCCCGCTTCTTGCCGATGGGTGCGGGACGCTTGCCAGATGTTCCCGTGTGATCGTGCCCTTAAAATCTGCCCGGCATTCGTGCCTGTCGCGCGGCTAATCCTGCGTGTGATCAGGACCATAGATACTTACGGGGCTCTTTTTGTAGAAAAAGCCCAGCAGGAACTCATTAGCATAATCGGCCACACCCAACAGCAGGAACCTATTAGCATATTGGGCCACACCCCTGACAGCACAGCTCATTAGCACATTAGGCCGCACCCCCGTGTTACCAGAAGTTTGGTCATCCAGCCACACCCACCTTTTGCTTCTTATGCTGTTTACCTTGTTTGTTGTCAAAACCCAGGGCCTTTTTTTGTAGCAGGAATCCCTTTGCATGTTAGGCCACACACCCCTAATGTAGCCAATCCTAATGAGTTTGGGTGTGGCCTATTATGCTAATGAGTTCCTGCTGGGCGTGGCCAACTCGGGAGCCAGCCGGAACTCCGTTCCTGTGCGTTCCTGCCCAAAAATAGCCCTGGATACTTATATGTAGATCTGCAACTTCCTCCTTCCCTCCTTCCTTTTTTAGTTGCTGGATTTCCCTCTCCCCTTTTCTCATTTTGAAAGAATTTTTTTTTTTTTAAATTGCTCCTTAATTATTTGGGAGACTTCAGCATTGAGGGGTTTGTTCCCGCACTGCCGGCTCAGTCTCCGTTTCTCCTCCCCCCCACAGCGACAGTGCGTGGAGTACTCCCTGAAGGCCCAGCCGTTGCGGCGCTACATCCCCAAGAACAAATACCAGTACAAGGTCTGGTACATGGTCAACTCCACGGGCTTTGAGTACATCATGTTCGTGCTTATCCTGCTCAACACCATTGCACTGGCCGTACAGGTGAGGGCGGGCGGCCCAGGGAAGGAGGGGTGCTGCTAGGGTTGCCAACCTCCAGGGGGTGGCTGGAGATCCCCTGGGATTATGACAATGGATCTCCAGGGGACGGAGATCAGTTCCCCTGGAGAAAAGGGCCCTTTGGAAGGTGGACTCTATGGCATTATAAGCCATAGAGAGCCACTTTGGTGTAGTGGTTAAGTGCACAGACTCTAATCTTGGAAAACCGGGTTTGATTCCCCACGCCTCCACTTGCACCTGCTGGATGACCTTGGGCAAGCCATCGTTCCGTCAGAGCTGTTCTCTCAAGAGCAGTTCTCAAGAGAGCTCTCTCAGCCCCACCTACCTCACAGGGTGCCTGTTGTGGGGAGGGGAAGGGAAAGGAGTGTGTAAGTTGCTCTGAGACTCCGAGTGAATGGTGGGGTATAAATCCAATCTCCTCCTCCTCCTCCTCCTCCTCCTCCTCCTCCTCCTCCTCCTCTTCTTCTTCTCTTCTTCTTCTTCTTCTTCTTCTTCTTCTTCTTCTTCTTCTTCTTCTTCTTCTTCTTCTTCTTCTTCTTCTTCTTCTTCTTCTTCTTCTTCTTCTTCTTCTCTGAAGCCCCTCCCCATACCTCACCCTCCTCAAGCTCCACCACCAAAATTCCCAGGTATTTCCTAAACTGGAGCTGGCAAACCTAGGTGGTGTCTGTGTATGGAAGGGTGACTGGTGACGGAGGCCCTTTAGGGTCAAACTGGGCACGACAGGAACCCCATCACAAGCCTGACTCATTTCTGTCCAGATGTGGGGTGGGAGGAACTGTTGTTTATTTATTTGCTTGATTTATGCCCCGCCTTTCTCCCCAACTGAGACCCAAAAGTGGGTTACTCCGTTCTCCTTTCCTCCATTTTAGCCTCACAACAACTCTGTGAGGAGGTGAGGCTGAGAGACAGTGGCTGGCGCAAGGTCACCCTTTGAACTTCTGTGGCAGGACGAGGATTCGAACCTGAGCCTCCCAGATCCTAGTCTGACACTCTGACCCAGGGGTGTCAAACATGCGGCCTGGGGGCCGGTTCAGGCCCCCGGAGGGTTTCCATCAGGCCCGCAGTGGAACTGGCCATCTCCTGCTTCCAGTTCTGCTGCTGCTGCTGCTGCTGCTGCCTCACAGCTTGCTTTGCCAGACTCTCTTAATCGCTCAGCCATTTCATGTTTTAACCCGGGTCCTAGACTCAGAACTCTGAGCACGAGATTTCTGTGGTGAACGTCAATAAATCAAAAGGAGGCTTGCAGCTTACAGAGCTAATGTTTTTAGCGTGTTTTTATTTTAAGTTAAAAAAAACAGCTTTGTGCTTGTGTCCTTTATAAAGTATATTATATATCTCCGCTACCTGGCATTACATTTTATGACACACATGGCCCGGCCCAACAAGGTCTCCTTTATGTCAGATCTGGCCCTCATAGCAAATGAGTTCGGCACCCCTGCTCTTACCACTACACCCCAACAGAAGGAGTGTGTGCAGACGTCGCCTCTCCATACTGACATCTTTCTCCAAGTCAGCACCAGCATTTGGGGTGCATTTAAACCCTGCCTTTCCTTGGGGTTCAAGGCGGCTTGCAGGAATTACATAACTCATTTCCCCATCTCCTTTCCCCAGCACCACGAACAGTCAATGCCCTTCAACTATGTCATGGACCTGCTCAACATGGTCTTCACGGGCCTCTTCACCGTCGAGATGGTGCTGAAGATCATCGCCTTCAAGCCCAAGGTTTGAGAGTGGAGAGTTTTGATGAAGGGATAATTGGGGGGAGCTTCTCTCCCCTGCTTCCCCTAAGCGATTGGGTTAGATATATTTTAAAAAATTATCAATTGCTTTGGAAGCACAAAAGCTTTACTCAGTATCCCCGATCATGTTTCCCGGTGTGGTGGAATGGGGCCTGCTCTGGCCTGCAGGCCCTGTTCTACCCTGCCACCACTACCTGACCTTTGTAAGGAATTGCCCACTCCCAGTTCTGAGGCCTTGCCTCTGTGTCTCCCGCTGCCCAGCACATGGTCACCACGGGGACAGTTCACTGCCTTGTGCGCCCCTGGAGGAATAGCCGCTTGCCAACTGCCTTCCGTCCCCCAGGCACTCCTTTTAAAATAGAGTGTCCAAAACGGTTGAGGTCTATGTGGTACAGAGAACCACTACCAGCATCAAAAGTGATAAAATATTTGTTAACAAGAAAATGTTCACAAGCATACTTTCAGCACAGAACCAGATTGAGCAAGGGATTCAAAAGACATGGGTAAAACACAATTCCTCTGTCCCTCTCTCTTATACATGCCCTATCAGATGTTAAAATATAGGACAGGCTTCTTAGCTTAGTAAGTTATAGATCTCTACAGAGTTACCAATACTTGCCGCTTCCTCTGGCTGTCTAGGCCAGCACATGGTAATGGCCTTCTCCTCCAGACCTTAGCTAAGAGTTCTGTGTGCTCTGATGGACTCAACCCTTCCCGCTTGCTCCCCTGAGTTTTATCCCCTCTCTTTTCCCCACCCACTGACCAGGTCAGGGCAGGTCAAACAGGCCAGCACATGGTAATGGCCTTCTCCTCCAGACCTTAGCTAAGAGTTCTGTGTGCTCTGATGGACTCAACCCTTCCCGCTTGCTCCCCTGAGTTTTATCCCCTCTCTTTTCCCCACCCACTGACCAGGTCAGGGCAGGTCAAACAGGCTTTTCCTGGAGATTTCCAGGAGTGCTTTCCTGAAGTCTCTCTAGCCTCCAGTCCCTCCAAATCTCTATTACCTGCTTGGGGAGAAGGGGGGAGAGTGGACCATCCTGTTGCCTTTAGCTGGACCTCTTCGCATTTCTTAAGAGGTAGCTGAGGTGAGTCTGGAAAGCCATTGAACTGATGTCTCCCTCCCAGCCTGTTCTCTGCCCAGAGAGAAAAGTTTTTAAAGCCTCCTGGTAAAGGTTCTACTCAGGTCAGACCTCTGCCCCCAAAATGCATTTCTTCATTAAGGGAAAATGCTGTTCAGACCAATTACAAAGATGACCGGGCTCCAATGGTAACAAGAGAAAGAAATTTTACGCACAAAAATAGAAGCCCATCTTACATGATGTACTCATGTAGGGACATTTAACGTGCTGCGAACAGGTTAACTTCAGAAAGGTTAACTTGCTGCAGCTCCAAGCCCAGGTAAGAGAGAGAAGAGGGGGAGAGATCCTGTATAAGAGGAAACAGAAGACAAGCGAGGGCCAGAGAGGCTCAACGTCTGACCTGCCCACGGATCCAGGCAGAACTGGTTGCAGTGAGGACATTTCTGTTGGTCTGTTGCAGCACTACTTTGCCGACGCCTGGAACACTTTTGATGCTCTGATCGTGGTGGGGAGCGTCCACCGTCGTGGACATCGCCGTCACGGAGGTCAATGTGAGTGATCCCCAGGCCTCCTCTTGCTGTAGTTGCCTAGGTGGTGTTGAAACAGCTCGATCTGAGTCCAGTAGCACCTTAGAGACCAAAAAGATTTGGGGGAAATGAGGTTTTGATTTAGTATGTGATAAAGGCAGGGGTCATTTCGTAGAAAAAGAGGTGCATGAGCTCATTAGCATAACTCATTACTGTAACTAATTTCCATATGCCACACCCCCTGACATCACCGGAAGTGTGTCAGAAGGCTCCACCGCTCCACCGCTCAGGCTCCACTGGACTGTTTTGGATTGCTAGCAATTGGGGGGGGGGTTCAGATCTGTCCTTGCAGAGGAGGGAGAGCTTGTACCTGAATAAAACTCGGTCTTAAAGGTGCCACTGGACTGTTTTCGGGTGGGGGGGGGGGTTCTGCAACTTACCTGGCTGCATCTTGCTCTGACTGAGGGCTGCTGGGAGCAGGGGGTGGGGCTTGTTGCCCGCCCCCTGGGCTCTTTAATTCTGGAGCTCTGCTCCTGTGTGCTCCTGCAGGAAATGACCCCTGGATAAAGGGAGCTTTAACTCTCACAAATGTATAGCCCGAAAATCTTCTTGGTCTCTAATGTGCTTCTGGACTCAAATATAGCTGTCGTACTCTAGACCGTCTCATGGCTACCCTCTGAACCTACATAGAGCATTTCTGCAGGAAAGTTTTGGAAGGGGTTCGAAAATGAAGCGTCACGTGTGTATGTAATGAATGTTCTGTTGACAAGTGACAGTGAGGACTTGCATAATCCACGTACAATGTGCACTTGATTTTTCTTCATGTGTGCACTGTGTAATTCACATGTTACATTTGGAGATGTGAAGGGTTTTTTTGGGGGGGGATGGGAAAATTTGGGAGGGCGGCCTAAAAATCTAATAAATAAATAAATCATCCCCCCCCCCCATGAACATTTGGGGAAGCACTGGGGAAAAACCTCATATGAAATATTTTCTCTTTTAGAATGAGTAAAATGCTTCTGAAGTCCTTTCACACTGAGGATGCATAGCATGAAAAAGTCAGAGGTTTTTTTCAGGTTTTCCAGTGGAAAAATTGGGAAGTTGGGGAATATTGAAAAAACTCTTACGAAATATTTTATCTTTTTGATTAGGAAAAAAAACCCACCTTGTCTTAGAAAGCATTTCACTCATTCTAAATGTGGGGCATGAAAAAGTCCGAGGACTTCCTCAATTTCCCCCCCAAAATTGGGAAATTTTAGGGGGCACTCTTCAAATATCTTTTCTACTATAAACAAATACAGCAAGAGCTTTCAGGAGGTTAAATGTAAAGTTTGTCAACAATTAATAGGGTCTAATATGTTTAATAGTAATATGTTATTAAAGACTTCGGTATTTTTATAAGGTTTTGCTTAATATCCAAATATGCTGGCGGTCTTACCTATGTCACGCTATGAGAGACTCTCGGTTCAACTAATATACTTCGGTTTGTTTCCTCCAGAATTTGTTTTCTGCCTTCAACTTTCATTTCCTCCCCCCTACATCTCAGATGGCAAAAATTAAAGATACATGTGCTGTGGCAGAGCAGGGTGGCAACAGTTTGAAACTCTTGCTCAAGTATTTGGTATACTGAGAATGTTTCTGGTAGAAAATGAGGATGTTTCTACTTTTAAATTCAATAAATATGCCAAATAGTACAGTTTTATATGCTAAGTGATAAATCATGCATTTGATGTTGTTACATCAGTCTAAGTTGTTTAGGTTTGATAGGAAATTAAGTATTTGCATATATTTCAATTTTTCGGAATGTTTCTGGGTTTTTTCTGGGGGGAAAGTCCCCCGCCCGGGGCTTCAAAATGTCTGGAAATTTTACATACATTCCACATATGTACATCTGAACATGTGATTTTAACCCCATATTTTCCCAGGCACTGGTTCCCAGTTTCATTTATAAAGTGAATCAACATTATCTGGGGCAGAGATGCTGTGTCTTCTTGGTGCTTGAGGGGGGGCAACAGTGGAAGGACTTCTGGAGTTCTGGCCCCATTGGTGGACCTCCTGATGGCCCCTGGGTTTTGGCCACTGTGTGACACAGAGTGCTGGACTGGAGGGGCCATTGGCCTGATCCAACATGGCTTCTCTTATGTTCTTATGTCTGGGGCAGTGATGCTCTGTATTCTTGGTGCTTGGGGGGCAAGAGTGGGAGGGCTTCTGGAGTTCTGGCTCCACTGATGGACCTTGTGATGGTCCCTGGGTTTTGGCCACGGTGTGACACAGAGTGTTGGACTGGGATGGGCCATTGGCCTGATCCAACATGGCTTCTCTTACGTTCTTATGTCTGGGGCAGTGATGCTGTGTCTTCTTGGTGCTGGGGGGTGGCAAGAGTGGGAGGGCTTCTAGAGTTCTGGCTCCACTGATGGACCTCGTGATGGCCCCTGGGTTTTGCCCACTGTGTGACACAGAGCATTGGACTGGATGGGCCATTGGCCTGATCCAGCATGGCTTCTCTTACGTTCTTATGTCTCTTTATCACACACAGGTGAGCAGAGGTACATGCAGAATATGCACGTGTTAGCTATAACACATGAACAGGGCTAGTGTAACTCAAATATAGCTCCACTCCCAAGAGGCCTAGAAACACAGTTTGAAAAAAAGGAACCTTAAGCGTTGGCCCAGCTTCCATTTTCTGCTCCAAATGTTGACCATCAGTTAGGCATGTGATGAAACTGACCTGCTTCATGTAACACATCTTGGGTGTTCCTTGATCCATCGTCCAACTTCACAATTGCCTTTTCTGTTTGTCTCTGTCGACGCATCCATTCTGTTCCCTCGCTCACCTGTTTCCCGCCATTCTGCTGCTTCCCGTTGGATGTTGTCACACGGTTTCATTCTCACCATCTTCACTCATCGACGCTGTCCCCTTCATCTAGAACGGAGGCCATGTTGGAGAGGTATGACCCGTGTATTTAATTCCAGAGGCACTTGGGTGTGGGCTACGGAAGGCTGGCCAAAATGAGGCTGAGTGGATACAGCCGATTCACAAGCGGGGGGTGAAGATGCCTCTAGAACAGGGGTCCCCAACGTGGTGCCCACGGGCACCCTAGTGCCCGCTGACACCTCTCCTGGCGCCTGTCAGGTGTCTTTAGAAAGTACGTGGGGTCAGGTGGGGCATTTGCCCAGCGAGGCCTCTGATTGGCTGTTGGGTATTTGTGGACTTTTAAAAATGTTGCTTCAGCAGCAGCACAATTCCGGCTCTTAAGGCAGCCTTTTTGTGGCTGTGCCCACCATGCTGTGTCCGAATTTCAAAGATGCCTGAAGTCTCAAAACAGTGGGGGACCCCTGTTCTGGAAGCAGGGCCGGAGTTAGCCAAGATAGTAAGCATGGAAGTCTTGAAGCTTATAGGTGAGGAGAGGGGGATCCGTGTGGGAGGGAAAATCCCATACCCCCACCACCACCACCACAGTCTCCCACTTTGCTCCTCTTCTTCTGCCTCCATCTGCCTTTGATCCAATCGCCTACATGAATCTGCACTGTACTGAATCACACCCTTGTTCCATCCAGCTCAGTATTGTCTACTCAGACTGGCAGTGGGTCTCCAGTGTCACAGCTCACGGTCTTTCACATTGCCTACTACCTGGTCAGTGGTTAAGAGTAGGGATGTGCATTCGGTTCGTCCGAACCGAATGCACCGCCAGAACCAGCTGATTTGGCCGATTTTCGGCCAGCCGAAAGAAAGCCACCGAATCATTTGGCAGCTTTTGGCTGGCCGAAAAACAGCCGGGGAAAGGCTGCCTTCCCTTGGCTTGCCCGGGCGCCCCGCAGCTGCGGGGGGCCCGGGAAAGCCCCCCCTTGAAGGGAAGGCAGTTTACCTTGGCTTGCCCGGGTGCCCCGTGGCTGTGGGGAGCTCAGGCAAGTCCCCCCTGGAGGGAAGACAATTTAAACTGCGTTCCCTTGGCTTGCCCGGGCACCCCCACAGCTGACACAAGCCCCCCCAGACAGACTGGGGAAGGCACAGGGAGGCATTTAAATGGCTGGCAACTCTTATTTCCTCTCCCAGTTTGGTATAGTGGTTAAGAGTGGCGGACTCTAATCTGGGAGAACCGGGTCTGATCCTCCGGTCCTCCACATGCAGCTGCTGGTGTGACCTTGGGTCAGTCACAAGTTTCCTCAGCTGTTCTCTCAGGAGCAGTCCTCGAAAGAGCTCTCTCAGCCCCACGTACTTCATCACAGGGTTTCTGATGTGGGGAGGGGAAGGAGATTGTAAGCTGCTCTGAGACGCCTTTGGGTAGTGAAGGGCGGGGTATAAATCGTGCTGCCATTTCTCTCACATCCCCCCCCCTGCTCCGTCGCTCCGTCGGGCCCAGCTTGTGTTTTGCTGCATATGGTCGCTGGAGGAAAAAAAGGAGAGGAGCATGGTCGCCTAGCAACCGCCTAGCACTTTCCCTGCTAATCTAATAAGATGCCTGCGTCAGGCCCAGAACCGGCAGCTGGGCAGTAGCCATACCCGACAATGGCCTGGTTGTTCCTGCCTCCACAGCCTGCCTTTGGGGCACAATATGTCCTTTGCTTTTTGAGCAGGCGGCCCGTGTGGTTCCCCCCCCCCCAGGCAGTTATGCCTCAATCCCCGAACCCGTTATTTGGGACAAAGACCACGTGGTGGGACTAGATGGACCTTTTCGGCCTGACCCGGATGGCTCGGTCTAGCCTGATCTCGGAAGCGAAGCAGGGGCAGCTAGGGTTTGCCAAGTCGCTCACTTGGCACAGCGGGGGAGAGTCAGAAACAACATCATCCCGTTGGGCTCGTCACCAGCCAACGCTCTGGCAAGCAGCCTGGAAACGCTGTGGTGCCATAGAGTTTCCAGGCTGATTGCTAGAGCGTCGGCCGGTGACGTGCCCAGCGTGATGACATCACTTCCGGGTGACATCATCTTGCTGGGCACATCGGCCCAAACCGGGCGCTTTGGCGGCGGGGTTCCCCCCACCGGCCTGATCCGGACCGGTGGGGTTGGGGGCCCTTGGGGCAGGCAGGCCCCCCCCCCCCGGTTGTTCCTGCTGCTGGGAGCAGGGGGCGGGGCTTGTTGCATGTGCCCGCCCCCTGGGCTCTTTACTGCCGGAGCTCCGCTCCTGTGCGCTCCGGCAGGAAATGGCCCCTGATGGTGAGTCAGTTATGACTCGGCGGACCTTTCCACCACCACCAGATCGACGGACCTTGGTGTGATCTTAGCAAGGCAGTTCTGTTTTCCGTGTGCACGGACTTCCTGCGTGTGCATGTATCTGTATGTAAAGGTCCTGATCGTAGAAGTCCTGACCTCGGTTCCCCCTCTCTGCAGAGTTCGGAGGACAGCTCCCGCATCTCCATCACCTTCTTCCGCCTCTTCCGCGTGATGCGCCTGGTCAAGCTGCTCAGCAAAGGGGAGGGCATCCGCACCCTGCTCTGGACCTTCATCAAATCCTTCCAGGTCAGCCGCTTTCCCGGGAGGAACGTGACCTTTGCCGCCCCTCTGGATGTGAGACTCTCGATCTCCGCACGCAGGGCTGGCGCCCGCATACCCTGAGGTGGGGCAGCTGCCAGAGCCCAGGACGTCTGGAGGGGCCCGCTGACTCCCACCCACATGCCCCCCACCCCCCTCTCTCTACCTGTTCTCTGAACTGCCCAGCGTCATCGAAGGAGGGCACGGGGGTGGTACACAGCGGCAGCGCTATTGGTGCAACAGCAACGCCATGCCCAGACAGGACAGGGCGTGCGGGTGGTGCTGGCAACTGAGCATGAGCAGTGGGAGGGCTTGCAAGTGGCAGAGTGGTGCATGGCCAGCAGTGTTCCCTCTAAGCTGAGTTAGTGTGAGCTGGCTCAGTTTTTTAGCCTCTGGCGCAAACATTTCTGATTTAGCTCACCCCCGGGCATCCGGTTCCCCCGGGCATCCGGTTCCCCCGCTCCAGCAGCAAAATCCAAGTCACCAGCAGGATAGTCCCATCTGGGTGCCACTTTGTTGTACATATTAGATTCTATGTCAAAAATGAAGTCAAATGAGGAGGACGTTGTGTATTTTATTGTAATGAAATATGGAAAACAGTTAGGCCAAAAGACCCATCAAAACTGACTGCTTTCTTCTCAGCATAATCAGGAAAAATGCCTCAATTAATAGGAAAACAATTAGACCAAATAGTTAACAAAAATTGACAACTTTCTTCTTTTTCTTCTTCATCTTCTTCTTGAGCATATTCTGAACATATTCAGGAAATACATGATATTTTATACATAGACTGACATCATCAAGAAAACAATATTCAAACAGCATAATTGGTTACAAAAGACAGTGGTAATTTGAGTAATAATCCTCTGATTGGTCAGATATAAAGAAACATATCTACGTCAAACTAAGTGTTTACTTAACCTAACCTAAATGATAATGGGCAAGGATTCTTCATATCAGACTAAAATCTTATCTGACCCAGACATTGAAAGGTTTGCCCTAAGAACTACAGAATCATGAACTTTGTACCTATTATGTTGTCTGCTAACAATATCAGACCTACAAGAGGAAAGCCTTCTATATAACAGGCCTTTCTAACATCCTAATAAAATATTACTTAAAGAATAAATCTATAAAAACCAGAGAAATATGAATATGAACAATCAAGAAGGAAAAACCTATATATGAAAATCTTTATATTCCCATTCATACTACAGGAAGGATGGGGCTCCAAAGCAAACTAATCTATGCGGCAGCCAAGTTGCTCGCTCACAGCTTTAATGCCGGTAGCTCACAAAGTAGGATTTTTGCTCACAAGACTCCACCGCTCATAGGGAGCATTACGTGGCAGTGTCGGGGGTGGAAAGGGTGCACATGGGGACAAAAAAATCCCAACTTCATGTATAGGCTGATGGGGTCTGAAGCAGTGCTCCCTCTAAACTGTGGAGTCTTGTGAGCAAAAATTCTACTTTGTGAGCCACTGGCATTAAAGTTGTGAGCGAGCCATTTGGCTCCAGCAGAAATTAGTTTGCTCTGGAGCCATCATCTGTCTGTCTGTCTGTCTGTCTGTCTGTCTATCGATCTGTCTGTCTATCGATCTGTCTGTCTGTCTATCTATCTATCTATATCTATCTATCTATCTATCTATCTATCTATCTATCTATCTATCTATCTATCTATCTATCTATCTATCTATCTATCTATCTATCTATCTATATCTCTGTCTGTCTGTCTGTCTGTCTGTCTGTCTGTCTGTCTGTCTGTCTGTCTATCTGTCTGTCTGTCTGTCTGTCTATCTATCTATCTATCTATCTATCTATCTATCTATCTATCTATCTATCTATCTATCTATTTTATACCCCACCCTCCCAGACAAGCTGCTTCCTGAACTAACACAAAAATGTGTGAGCCGGAGGCGAAAAAGCTGTGAGCTGGCTCACACTAACTCAGCTTAGAGGGAACACTGGTCTGAACTTGTGGAGACGGAGAGGGGGGAAAGATCTTGGGGGCGTAGTGGTCAGCTCAATGAAAGTGTCGATCCACTGTGCTGCAGTGGGGGAAAAGGCAAACTCCGTACTAGGGATTATTAGGAAAGGGATTGAGAATATTGCAGTGCCCCTGTATAGCTCTATGGAGCGGCCTCATCTGGAACACTGTGTGCAGTTCTGGGCACCTTATCTCCAAAAGGACACTGCAGTGTTGGAAAAAAGTACAGGGGAGGGTGACCAAGAGGACGGGGGGGGGAGGTTGGACCCCCTTCCCTAGGAGGAAAGACCGAAGAGTCTGGGACTCTTCCGTTTAGAAAAGAGATGACTACGGGGGTGGGTGGGGAGGGACGTGTGAGAGGTTTATAAAATGACGCATGGGGTGGAGAGAGTGGACAAAGAGAAATTTTTCTCCCCTTCCCGAAATGCTAGAACTCGACGGCATCCAATGAGGCTGATGGGCAGTAGGTTCAGGACGGGCAAAGGGACATACTTCTTTACACAGCGAGTGATTAAAATGTGGAATTCGCTGCCAGAGGATGGAGTGATAGCCACAGGAATAAACAGCCTTAAAAAGCGATTAGACACCTTAATGGAGGGTGAGTCTATCAGTGGCTACCACTAGCCATGGTGGCTGAAGGGAACCTCCACATTCAGAGGCACTGATCCTCTGAATCCCAGAGCCAGGAGGAAACATCAGGGGAAGACTTCGGCCTCTCTGCCCTGTTGTTGGCCCTCCAGAGGGACTGGCTGGCCCGTGTGAGACAGGATGCTGGACTAGATGGACCCTCCCTGGTCTGACCCAGCAGGGCTCTTCTGACGTTCTGATCAGGGGAAGGCCTCGGCCTCCATGCCCTGTTGCTGGCCCTGCAGAGGAACTGGCTGGCCCCTGTGTGAGACAGGAGGCTGCACTAGATGGACCCTCCCTGGTCTGACCCAGCAGGGATCTTCTGACGTTCTTCTCAGGGGAAGGCCTCGGCCTCTCTGCCCTGTTGCTGGCCCTCCAGAGGGACTGGCTGGCCCCTGTGTGAGACGGGAGGCTGGACTAGAGGGACCCTTTGGCCCCTGTGTGAGACGGGATGCTGGACTGGAGGGACCCTCCCTGGTCTGACCCAGCAGGGCTCTTCTGGTGTCCTTCTCAGGGGAAGGCCTCGGCCTCCCTGCCCTGTTCTTGGCCCTCCAGAGGGACTGGCTGGCCCCTGTGTGAGACGGGAGGCTGGACTGGAGGGACCCTCCCTGGTCTGACCCAGCAGGGCTCTTCTGGTGCTCTTCTCAGGGGAAGGCCTCGGCCTCCCTGCCCTGTTGCTGGCCCTCCAGAGGGACTGGCTGGCCCCTGTGTGAGACGGGAGGCTGGACTAGAGGGACCCTCCCTGGTCTGACCCAGCAGGGCTCTTCTGAGGTTCTTATGAAGGCATGAAAGGGGGCCCTGTTAGTGGGCCGAGGGGGGGAGGCCCTGAGCACTGTCTGCCCAGGGCCCCCCAAAACCTGGAACTAGCCCTGTCAGCATGCGTTGATCCGTATCGGAAGGGAAATAGCCTGCTACAGCGTGTTTCCAGGGAGTGGCTGTTAGTAGGGCATGCTGGGAGATCTGGGTCGAACTAGGGTTGCCAGTGCTAGGTTGGGAGATTCCTGGAGACCTGGGGGTCGGAGTCTTGAGAGGGCAGGGTTGGGGAGGGGAGGGACATCCGCAGGGCACAATGCCCGTTGTCTCCATGGTCCCTGTCACCTGGAGATTTCTTGCAATGCTGGGCAATCTTCAGGCCCCACCTGGAGGCTGGCAACCCGAGGCTGGACCCAGCCTCTAGGACGGGCTGATCCCACCCTCCAAATTCTCCCTGTATCTCTTCCGCCTCCAGGCGTTGCCGTACGTTGCCCTGCTGATCGCCATGATCTTCTTCATCTACGCCGTCATCGGCATGCAGGTGAGTAGGGGCGTGGCCCCACCCCAAACCTTCTCAAGAAGGAAACCAAAGCACGCACATTCCTGTGCAAACGACACACTTCTCAGCATAGGTGTTGCTAGAATTACGCACCGTGGTTGTGCAGGGCCCTGGGTAAGCACAGTGTATTTTAAAAACCAGGACTACCAGCAGACTGGATTGTGGATGCCAGTCAGTATGAGCAGCTGAAGAGTTTTCTCCCCCATGCATGATATTCTAGTCCGTGCGCCCCCAGCGTGGTTCCCGTTGTTCCTGTTGTACCCGCCAACACCAGTTGTACCAGCCTATCCGGTGTAGTGCTTAAGTGCGCGGACTCTAATCTGGGAGAACTGGGTTTCATTCCCCACTCCTCCACTTGCACCTGGCTGGATGACCTTGGGCAAGCCGTAGTTCTGATAAGAGCTGTTATCTCAGGAGCAGTTCTGGAAAGAGCTCTCTCAGCCCCACCTACCTCACAGGGTGTCTGTTGTGGGGAGGGGAAGGGGAAGGAGTTTGTAAGCCGCTCTGAGACACCTTCGGGTAGTGAAGGGCGGGGTATAAATCCAATCTCTTCTTCTTCTTTTACCGCACACGGTGTCTGTTGTGGGGAGGGGAAGGGAAAGGAGTTTGTAAGCCGCTCTGAGACACCTTCGGGTAGTGAAGGGCGGGGTATAAATCCAATCTCTTCTTCTTCTTTTACCTCACAGGGTGTCTGTTGTGGGGAGGGGAAGGGAAAGGAGTTTGTCAGCCACTCTGAGACTCCTTCGGGTAGTGAAGGGCGGGGTATAAATCCAATCTCTCCTCTTCTTCTTCTTTTACCTCACAGGGTGTCTGTTGTGGGGAGGGGAAGGGAAAGGAGTTTGTAAGCCGCTCTGAGACACCTTCGGGTAGTGAAGGGCGGGGTATAAATCCAATCTCTTCTTCTTCTTCTTCTCTTCTGGCACATGCCAGGTGTTTTTAGGAAGTGGGCGGGGGCAAGGCTTCTGATTGGCCATTGGAGATTTGATTGGCTGTGCACCTTTTTAAATCTTGCTTTGGCAGCAACTGCCGCCACAGCACAAAGTCCTGTACTGCGGTGTATTGCCCATCGTTTGGATTGATTCCAACAAGCAAATGGAACAAAGGATGCAGCTTTATTCAGCTCACTAAATAAATAAATAAACAATACCTTTCCGCCCACCCTGTAACCTGTATTGGATGGGAAGTCTCCTCCAGACGTTAGGCAGTCCAAAAAAAAGCCACACTGAGCTGGAGCCAAGAAGCCTCTTATGTAGCTTGCTGCCTCTGTACCCAGAGACCTCGCCCACACCTATACCTATTCCCAGGGCTATTTTTGGGCAGGAACGCACAGGAATGGAGTTCCGGCTGGCTCCCGAGTTGGCCACGCCCAGCAGGAACTCATTAGCATAATAGGCCACACCCAACAGCAGAAACTCATTAGGATTGGCTACATTAGGGGTGCGTGGCCTAACATGCAAAGGAGTTCCTGCTACAAAAAAAGGCCCTGGGTTTTGACAACAAACAAGGTAAACAGAATATGAAGCAAAAGGTGGGTGTGGCTGGATGACCACACCTCTGGTAAATGGGGGTGTGGCCTAATATGCTAAGGAGTTTCTGCTGTTGGGTGTGGCCTGTTATGCTAATGAGTTCCTGCTGGGGGTTTTCTACCAAAAAAGCCCTGCCTAGTCCCACCACCAGGTGCTCTTCATCTGGGTAGAATTTAACCCCCTGAGACTGCCATTCACATGGAGAAGGGCTGTGTGGCTCACCACCTGCCTATTCGACTTACAACGGTCTTCCACAGTTTCCCGACTACATGTGGTGACTGAAGATAAGCCGTGGCAGCCATTTTGTGGCTGGCTCGGCCTCCCACGTCAGCCATTTTGCTGCTGCGCCCACCCTGCAGGATCAGAATTCCATATGTGCCCCACAGGATCATAAAGGTCGGGGACCCCTCTTCTAGTCTGCGTATCCCATTAGTTTCTCTGCTATGCAAATCTAAACGGGGGGGGGGTGCACGAGAAGCGGGCACGTCTCGACCGTGGCTCATCCTGCTAGGCGCCCAAAGCAGCCTCCTGCTATCGATCTAGCAGCACTGGGTGTTTTGTGTTTCTCCCCTCGCGGGAGGCGAGATGGAGAAGAGAGCTGAGTCATCTGTCCTCCCATTTGCTTCCAAAACGTTTCCCGCCTTGAATCTGTTTGTTCCTTCGGGACCGAGACTGCAGAAATAGGTTTTTGTGTCTTTCAGACCTTCGGGAAAGTGGCGTTGCAGGACAACACGCCGATCAACCGCAACAACAACTTCCAGACCTTTCCGCAGGCCGTGCTGCTGCTGTTCAGGTATCTCCCCCCTCCTCTTCGTGCGCCTCTTTCCGCTTGTGTCTTAGTGACAGCCCTGAGAACGTGTAAATGGAACATTGGGGGGGGGGGGAGAAGAGATGCTTTCTTAGAATCTGCTGACCTGAAAGGCAGTGTTCAAGGGCTTTGTCCTATAATAAATGACCCAAAGTCCACACCTGTGAATCAGAATCACGCCGGCGTTCTGGAACGGCACATTCTCTCCTTGCCTCTTTCCCGCTAGCTCCGTGTACTCAAATTTATGACTGCAAAGAAGAGAAGAGATTTGATTTATACCCCGCCCCTCACTACCCAAGGGAGTCTCAGAGCGGCTCACAAACTCCTTTCCCTTCCCCTCCTTACCACAGGCACCCTGTGAGGTAAAAGAAGAAGAAGAAGAGATTGGATTTATACCCCGCCCTTCACTACCCAAAGGAGTCTCAGAGCGGCTTACAAACTCCTTTCCCTTCCCCTCCCCACCACAGACACCCTGTGAGGAGCAAAAAGAAGAAGAAGATATTGGATTTATACCCCGCCCTTCACTACCCAAAGGAGTCTCAGAGCGGCTTACAAACTCCTTTCCCTTCCCCTCCCCACCACAGACACCCTGTGAGGTAAAAGAAGAAGAAGAAGATATTGGATTTATACCCCGCCCTTCACTACCCAAAGGAGTCTCAGAACGGCTCACAAACTCCTTCCCCTTCCCCTCCCCACAACAGACACCCTGTGAGGTAAAAGAAGAAGAAGAGGAGATTGGATTTATACCCCGCCCTTCACTACCCAAAGGACTCTCAGAGCGGTTTACAAACTCCTTTCCCTTCCCCTCCCCACCACAGACACCCTGTGAGGTAAAAGAAGAAGAAGAGGAGATTGGATTTATACCCCACCCTTCACTACCCAAGGGAGTCTCAGAGCAGCTGACAAACTCCTTTCCCTTCCCCTCCCCACAACAGACACCCTGGGAGGCAGGTGGGGCTGAGAGAGCTCTTGACAGAAATGGCTCTTTTTCCAGAACAGCTCTTATCAGAACTATGGCTCGCCCAAGGTCATCCAGCCAGGTGCAAGTGGAGGAGTGGGGAATCAAACCAGATTCTCCCAGATGAGAGTCCGCGTACTTAACCACTACACCAAACTGGTGTAGAAGGTGGAAGCCGCTGATTATGCAGGGGCTGTTTTGCTTGCCCCCCGCTCAGTTCATCCTCAGCGTCAATGAGTAACGGAAGCAAGGGAGTGGTTTGTGATGTCGGGAAAGAGGGAGAACCCACAAAAAGACACAGGGCGCTTCCACACATGCTAAATAATGCTGTTCCAATCCACTTCAGCGACCGTTTGCAAGCCATTTCACATCGTCAAATCCAGTGGCAGAATGCCTTAAAAGTGCATGATTTAGGGTGTATGGAAGCACCCAGAGAGTAAGAAGCTGAAGAATCTTCATTCTGGTTGTTTGCTTCCGAAACGGTTCCCACCTTGAATCCGTTTGTTCCAGTTTGGTGTCGTGGTTAAGTGCGCGGACTCTAAATCTGGGAGAACCGGGTTTGATTCCCCACTCCTCCACTTCCACCTGGCTGGATGACCTTGGGCAAGCCGTAGTTTGGATAAGAGCTGTTCTTAAAAAAGAGCAGTTCCTGTCAGAGCTCTCTCAGCCCCAACTACCTCACAGGGTGTCTGTAGTGGGGAGGGGAAAGGAAAGGAGTTTGTAAACTACTCTGAGACTCCGAGTGAAGGACGGGGTATAAATCCAGTCTCCTCCTCCTCCTCGTCTTCTTCTTCTTCATGACCGGAACTGTAGAATGGGTTTTCTTGTCTTTCAGACCTTTGGCAAAGTTGCTTTGGCCCACAGCATAAGGTTCTATACTGTGTTACTGAAAGATAAGCTGTGGTAGCCATTTTGTGGCTGGCTCCACCTCCTGCGTCCGCCATTTTGTGGCTGGCTCCACCTCCTGCGTCAGCCATTTTGTGGCTGTTCCCACCACGCAGTATCAGAATTAATTATTATCACCGGGTTTATCATATTTACTATCATAGGGTTTATCAGCACAGGTCATGCAGTCATACCATCCAAAGTAAAACGATTTATCGTTTTAGTATGTGTTTCAGATGGGGGTGCCCAACGTGGTGCCTGGGGGCTCCGTGGCACATGCCACCACTTTCCCTGACGCCCGCCGAGTGTTTTTAGAAAGTGGGTGGGGCTTTTGCCCAGCAAGTCTTCTGATTGGCCACTGGAGATTTGCTGAGTTATGCAGATTTTTAATAACATTGCTTTGCCAGCAGCTGCCCTCACAGCAGAAGGATCTTCACTGAGTGACCGAAGGGAAGCCGTGGCAGCCACTTTGCGGTGGGTCGGTGTTGCCTGCGGCGGCGGCCATTTTGTGGGTGTGCCCGCCGCGTCGGTCAGAATCCCAAAGATTCACACAGGCTCAAACAGGCTGGAGACCCCTGGTTCAGGAGATGTGTACGGTGCTTGTCTACCATTCAAATGACCCCCAAAGCGGCTCACAATTTAATATGTGCCTTACTGCGGGCATCGCCCGAACCGCTGGGTGCCCACTTCTGCAAGGGCGCATCTGTCCCAGCTCACCTTGTTCTCCCGCCTCTCCAGGTGTGCCACTGGGGAAGCCTGGCAGGAGATCATGCTGGCCAGCTTGCCCGGCAAGCGCTGTGATCCGGAGTCCGACTACGAGCCCGGGGAGGAGTTCACCTGCGGCAGCAACTTCGCCATTGTCTATTTCATCAGCTTCTTCATGCTCTGTGCCTTCCTGGTGAGTCCCCCCCCCGCCCCCTGCAGGGGAATGGCTTTTGCCCTTCGCCCAGTCTTTGTTGATTGCAGTTCGGGTCCCTGACCTGGGCTCCGCTCTCCTCTGCAAAGCCCACTCATTTTATTTTATTTTATTTCTTTGGATTTATATCCCGCCCTCCCCTGAACGGGCTCAGGGCGGGTTCCAACAGTATAAAATGCAATGCAGTTAAAACCACATTAAAACACAATACAAATCTCTTTCTCTTTCTGAAACAACGGTTTTGGTTTCCCCCTCATCCCGGGGGAAGGGCGAGTAGTGTAAGGCCACTTGAGATAGTGAGGTAGGGAAAGTAAATCTAGACGGGTTAGGGCATTTGATTTATTTTATTTTCACCCACTTACTGTTATTATTCTGCACCTTGTTGTTTGACCTCCTATAAAATAAACCTTTTCCTTGTTTTACTCTGCCTGGTCCTCACGCCTGTTATTCGGCCTAAAGGAAGGTCTGAAGGTCTTGGGAGGGTACTCTGGGCCTTTTCAAGGGAACCGAAATCCAGAGTGGTGGCAGCATCATGTGACACCCCTAGGGTTCCCAAGTCCGTTTTGCTCCGCGGCAGGGGGCTCCCGGATGGCGTCTTGACCAGAGGTGATGTGATGATGCCGAGCACGCTGGTGGCGGGGCCACAGCCATCTGAAGGGAAAACATAGAGTAGAACCCCCCCAAAAAACGAGGGACCCCTGGCAAACCGGGGGTGTTGGCAACCCTACCTCACAGTGTGTCTGTTGTGGGGAGGGGAAGGGAAAGGAGTTTGTAAGCCGCTCTGAGACTCCTTCGGGTAGTGAAGGGCGGGGTATAAATCCAATCTCTTCTTCTTCTTCTTTTACCTCACAGGGTGTCTGTTGTGGGGAGGGGAAGGGAAAGGAGTTTGTAAGCTGCTCTGAGACACCTCTGGGTAGTGAAGGGCGGGGTATAAATCCAATCTCTTCTTCGTCGTCGTCTTCTTCTTCTTGAGTTCCAATTTTGTCTGCCACTGCCATATCCCAGCATTTAGAAGCCCATCGCTTTAAAGTAGGTATTCTAACTTGATTCCATCTTTGGGCTAACAGAGATTTTGCAGCTGAAAGCAAAAGTATAGTGAGTTCTGGTCAACAATACATTTGGCCAGAAGTTCAAAAGTACAGATTCCGGTGTGTTTGGAATAGCTTGGCCAACAATCTTCGATATTTCAGTAAGAACCTCCGCCCAGAATTTAGCTATTTTGGGGCAAGCCCACCAGCAATGTAAAAAAGAACCCTTTTGTCCACAACCCTTCCATGGTATTAGAATTTAAGTTTTTGTAGAGATCTTTAAAATTTAGGATCTCGGGACCCAGGCTACAGATGGGGCCGACCCAAGGAGGGGGGGGGGACGCCCGCTGCCTCAACCGAAAGCCTGGCGGAAGAGCTCCGTCTCGCAGGCCCAGCAGAATTGTAATAAATCCCGCAGGGCCCTGATCTCATACGGGAGCTCATTCCACCAGGCAGGGACCAGGGCCAAAAAAGCCCTGGCCCTGGTCGAGGCAAGTCGGAGATCCCTGGGGCCGGGGACCACCAAAAGATGTCGATTGGTGGACCGCAGTGCTCTACGGGGCTCATATGGGGAGAGGCGGCCTCGAAGGTAATCTGGCCCCGGCCGTATAGGGCTTTGAAGGTAAGTACCAGCACCTTGATACGGATCCAGAATTCAGTAGGCAGCCAGTGCAGGTCGCACAGCACCGGGCAGCTGTGCGCCCTCGCAGGCGTCGCCGTCAGCACCCCTGCTGCCACATTCTGCACTAGCTGCAACTTCCGGAGCAGAGTCAAGGACACCTGTTTCCACCACGTGGCCAGCTAGACATTACACAGGAGAGGCAGGGGTCCCCAACATGGTGCCCATGGGCACTATGGTGCCCGCCATCACCTTTCCTGGCACCCACCAATTGTTTCAAGAAAGTGGGCAGGGTCAGGTGGGGTTTTTCCACAGCAAGGTTGCTGATTAGCTATTGGATACCCGATTGGTTCTGCAGATTTTTAAAAGAACGTTGCCGCAGCCAGCGTCCCATGATGACGTGCCCGGCATGATGACGTCACCAAATAAAGAAGAAGGGGACGGCTTTATAAGGTTTATAAGATTATGCATGGGAAAGAGCAGGTAGAGAAAGAGGTACTTTTCTCCCTTTCTCACAATACAAGAACTCGTGGGCACTCCATGAAATTGCTGAGCGGTCGGGTTAGAACGGATAAAAGGAAGTCCTTCTTCACCCAAAGAGTGATGAACACTTGGAATTCACTGCCACAGGAAGTGGCGGCGGCTACAAGCATGGACGGCTTCAAAAGGGAATTAGATAAGCATATGGAGCAGAGGTCCATCAGTGGCTATTAGCCACAAGGTATAGATAGGGGCTCTGGGGCAAGGGATGCTCTGTCTTCTTGGGGCTTGGGGGGGGGGGGTTAACAGTGGGAGGGCTTCTAATGTCCTGGCCCCACTGGTGGACCTCCTGATGGCACTGGTATTTCTGGCCACTGTGTGATACAGAGTGTTGGACTGGATGGGCCTTGGCCTGATCCAACATTGGCATCTCTTATGTTCTTATGTTCTTATGACGGCAAAGGATGAGGTGGTCAGACAGTGTTATTGATGCAATGATCATGAAATTAAGCAAACTCCGGAGCACAGGAGGGCCTGGCGTGATGTGGTCCGTGGGGTCGCAAGGAGTCAGACTCGACTGTGCGACTGAACAACAATAAAATGGCCGTTCAGGGGTGTCTCTGCAGTTAGTACAGGGTTGGCCCAGGGTATTTGAATATGGTTTTGAGCCGCATCTTTTTCTGTTCCAGAACGGAGTGAATGCTAGATGCCGAATGGGCCTTATTTTTCTTTCTGGCGGTCCACTTTCTAGCTAGACACTCAGTCACTGCTGTTGTGAACGGCTTGTGCGCATTTCTTGACTACATTCCAGTTTTACATAATTACTCAACTTACGGGTGTGAAAGTTGGACAATGAAGAATGCTGACAGGAAGAAAGTTGATTCCTTTGAAATGTGACGTTGGAGGAGAGTTTTACGGATACCATGGACTGCCAAAAAGACAAATAGATGGGTTTCAGATAAAATCAAGCCTGAACTCTTTCTAGAAACTAAAATGACCAAACTGAGGCTATCATACTTTGGTCATATCATGAGAAGGCAAGAGTCACTGGAAAAGACAATCATGCTGGGAAAAGCTGAAGGCAGCAGGAGAAGACCCAACAGGAGATGGACTGAGGTCCATTCTGCACCCACATTTTATCAGCACTCGACCTGGTTCTGTTTTCATTGCATTGCCTCGGATCCAGGTTTCTGCATTGGCTAGTGTCAGCTTGTCATCTGTTTTGTTTTCAGTGCTCGCTCCTGCATTGGTATGCAGACTTTCCTGTGTCAGTACTTGCCTCAGCGGTCATTAGCTGCCTGAGCCAAGTAATTCATGGCGAGGTGATAAATCCAGAGGGGGAAATAGGAGAGGCGGAACTGGCGGAGATCAGTGAAGCCACATTAAGTTGTCTGCTTATTGTTCCCTTCAAATCAAAAGCGGAGGAAGGAAAAGGTGCCGTTCAAAACCACATTCAGATACCCTGGGGTAACGCCGTACTGACTGTGAAGTCACCCCTGGACGGCCATAAATCTATGCATAAGGTACCATACAACCTGATGATCAAAGAAAGTGAAACTGGCACGCAGTGTAGAGGGAGATTAACCTCCCGACGTGGCTGTGGAAAAACTGCATGGAAACAGATGGGTGCAGAACCAGCCTGACTCAATCAAGGAAGGCACGGCCCTCAGTTGGCAAGACCTCATCAAGGCTGTTATGGGTAGGACGTTAATTCATAGGGTCTCCATAGGCTGGAAGTGGCTTGACGGCACTTAACACACACACCCACACAACTTCCTGCATTCTTTTGATCTAGCTTTTTCATAACACATAAATGATAATTGAGTGAGGACCCATGACACACACTTGCCAAAAGGGGCTTAAAAACCTCATGCTGGACAAAAAAAATAAACCTTTTTGGTCTTCGATGGTGGCAGAAGTGATTAACTTGCAGCAGCTGAGAACTGCTGTTAGCCTCCAATGTATTCTGTTAGGCTCCAGTTTATTCAACGTTTGCTCTCCCTGCCTGCCTCGGTGGCTCGTTTCGGAGCATCCATTGGCCTCTGACCTCTCTCTGTCTGTGTCTCTCGTACCTCTTCTAGATCATTAACCTTTTTGTTGCTGTCATCATGGACAATTTTGACTACCTAACTCGAGACTGGTCCATTCTGGGTCCCCACCATCTCGATGAGTTCAAGCGGATCTGGTCAGAGTATGACCCAGCTGCCAAGTAAGAGACTACGCTTCTTTTTGCTGTAACCCCAGGCCGTCCTATTAAATGCCAGAGCCAAATATATATACACACACACATCTATCTATCTATCTATCTATCTATCTATCTATCTATCTATCTATCTATCTATCTATCTATCTATCACCTGCACTATATATATAAAAACACCTGCATTAACTTGTGGAATTCACTCCCACAGGCTATAGAGGTGACCACTGGTTTAGATGGCTTTAAAACAGGATTGTACAAATTTATGGATGCCCAACCAGAATCGTCACATTCAGAGGCCGTGTCCATTGCTTGAGGGACAATGGGGAGGTCTCTTCTGTGGGCCTTCTGGGGTACCTGGTAGGATACTATGGGGAAAGGAAAAGCATATTGGATTAGATGGACTGTTAGCCTGCTCTAGTAGGGCTTTTTGACCTGTTGTTCTGTTGTTAAATCATCATCACATTTGTAATTTAGAAAGCACGTCAAGGGCTACCTATTGTACAAAGGTTATATTCCAAAAAAAATTATGCCCACATACTGGAGGGAGACAGCAGATATACCTGGGCCCTCCTGCAATTGTGGTACTTTCCACCAGGGGCAGCAGAGAGAAGGCTTCACATTCTCCTGTAGCTAAGTAGTCACCATGCCTGAAATCCCAACTTCTGCCACTAGAGGTGTCACAGAGACATTGACCTGTGATGGAGAGACTTTTGACTCTTGGAAGCTGATACCCCCAAACCGGGCTTTTTTTGTACAAAAAGGCCAGCAGGGACTCATTAGGCCACACCCAACAGCAGAAACTCATTAGCATATTAGGCCACATCCAGACAGCACATCTCATTAGCATATCAGGCCACACCCCATGCCTTCCATTGGCTTGCCTGGACGTCCCGCAACTGCCTTCCTTCTGTAGCCACACATGCGCAGAGGTTTTGGCTGCAGGCGTGGGCATGGGTGTGGCCAACTCAGAAGCCAGCTGGAGCTCCGTTCCTGTGCGTTCCTGCCCAAAAATACGCCTGCCCCCAAATTGTTGTTGGTTCCTAAGGTGCTACTGGATGCAAATATAGCTGTTCAGCTGCAGACCAACACAGCTATCCTCTGAAACTGACCCTAACCCAGTGGTTCTCAAACATGTTAAAGAGCGAGCCTCTTCTACATCTAACAAAGTTACCGCTTTGTTAGCCGCCCTGAGCCTGTTCGCAGGTATAAATATAATAAATAAATAAATGCATGTACTCTGTTTTTTTTCAAGACCCACTTGCGAAATCATTCCCTTGAATGTGGTGTCCCGCAGGGGGCAGTGCTTTCCCCGATGCTTTTTAACATCTATATGCGCCCTCTCGCCCAGATCGCCAGGAGGTACGGGCTGGGCTGTCATCAGTATGCAGATTACACCCAGCTCTATCTGATGTTGGGCGGCCGGTCGGGCTCCGACCCTGAAGATCTGCAACAGGGATTACAGGCTGTGGCTGAGTGGCTCAGGCTGAGCCGGTTGAAACTAAACCCAGCGAAGACGGAGGTCCTGGGCCTGAGTCGGAACGGTTTGGGGTTAGGGCTCCCTCTCCCGACCTTCGATGGGGTACCTCTGGTGCCTGCGTCGGAGGTTAGGAGTTTGGGAGTGCTCCTGGACTCCTCCTTGACAATGGAGGCCCAGGTAGCAGCCACTGCCAGGTCTGCATTTTACCATCTGAGGCAGGCTCGGCAGTTGGCTCCTTTCCTCGACCGCGAAGACCTGGCTACAGTGATCCATGCGACGGTTACCTCAAGGTTAGACTACTGTAACGCTCTCTACATGGGGCTGCCTTTGTCGCTGATCCGGAGGCTGCAGCTGGTGCAGAATGCGGCAGCTAGGCTGCTGATGGGCCTCCCCAGGTGGGAGCACATCAAGCCTGGGTTGAAGGCGCTGCACTGGCTGCCAATAGCATACCGAATCCGCTTCAAAGTGCTGGTACTCACCTTTAAAGCCCTATATGACCTGGGTCCGACCTACCTGAGGGACCGCCTTTCCCCATACACACCCCCAAGAGCACTTCGGTCGGGGACCCAGAGCCGTTTAGTGGTTCCGGGCCCCCGAGAGGTACGGTATGCTGCGACAAGGGCCAGATCCTTCTCAGTGGCGGCCCCTACCTGGTGGAATGAGCTCCCGGAGGAGATCAGGGCCCTGCGGGATCTCATGCAATTCCGCAGGGCCTGCAAGACGGAGCTCTTCCACCAGGCTTTTATGTAAGGGCCGCCGCTTCCACCACCACCAACGGTGGGAATATCATCAAAGTTGGAGCGCCCTTGATAGCCCGGCAGAGAGGTGAATTACATGGCAGCAAGACCAGCCGATCAGCTCGGACTACTACTGCCAAAATGATACTATTATAACTAATGTCGGCGGGGGTTATTCCTTGCAGGAGCTATCTGCTGACCATCTTGGAATTTAAAGCACTTTATCATTATTAATAGTATGTTATTGGTTGTGATTTTGTGATTTTACTGGATTTTATTGAATTTTATGTATGGGCTTATGCCTTTGTAAGCCGCCCTGAGCCCGCTCGCGGGGTAGGGCGGGGTAAAAATACCTGAATAAATAAATAAATAAATAAATTACCCCCCCCACCCCCAACATAAAGTGCAGGGATTTCCCATCATATTTTCCTGATTTAGTACTTATAAATAAGTCCTGACCTGGATGGCCCAGGCCAGCCTGCTCATGGGATCTCGGAAGGTAAGCAGGGCCAGCCCAGGTTAGTATCTGGATGGGAGACCAGCAAGGAAGTCCAGGGTCCCGCTGCAGAGGCAAGCAATGGCTACCCACCTCTGAACGTCTCTGGTCTTGAGAACCCCACAGGGTCTCCATGTGTCACCTGTGACTTGACGGCAAAAAAATAAATTATAAATATATAGCGTTACTGAGCAACAGGATATATTCCATGGCCATTTAGCACGTTGCGCAGAGGCAAACCAAGTCTGCCGTTGAGTCTCCCTGAACCTCCTCTAATAGTTCACCAGTTTGGTGTAGTGGTCAAGTGCACGGACTCTTAATCTGGGAGAACCGGGTTTGATTCCCCACTCCTCCACTTGCACCTGGCTGGATGACCTTGGGCAAGCCGTAGCTCTGATAAGAGCTGTTCTTGAAAAAAGTGCCGTTTATGTCAAGAGCTCTCTCAGCCCCACCTACCTCAAAGGGTGTCTGTTGTGGGGAGGGGAAGGGAATGGAGTCTGTAAGCCGCTCTGAGACACCTTTGGGTACTGAAGAGCAGGGTATAAATCCAATCTCTTCTCCTTCTTCTTTTACTTTGGCTAAAAAGACTCACACAACCACTTTTAACTTTAAAAGGGGTAATTTTTCTGATATGAGGGGACATGTGGGGAGGAAACTGAAGGGAAAAGTAGAAAGGGTCAAAACCATTGGGGAAGCTTGGAAACTGTTTAAAACTACAATTCTAGAAGCTCAAATAAAATATATTCCGCAGGTTAGGAAAGGCACAAACAGGTATAAGAAAAAGCCTACATGGTTAACAAACAAAGTAATGGAAGCTGTAAAAGGTAAAAAGGATTCCTTTAAGCGGTGGAAAGCTAGTCACAGTGAGGCTGATAAAACAGAACACAGGCTATGGCAAATAAAATGCAAGTCTGTAGTCAGGCAGGCAAAAAGGAAATATGAGGAGCATATAGCAAAAAACGTAAAAACCAACAATAAAACTTTCTTCAAATACATTAGAAGCAGGAAACCAGCCAGGGAGGCAGTGGGGCCCTTGGATGACCAAGGGGTAAAAGGAGTACTGAAGGATGATAGGGAAATGGCTGAGAAGCTAAATGCATTTTTTGCCTCCGTCTTCACTGTGGAAGATGAGAGGTGCTTGCCCACTCCAGAGCCGCTGAGTTCGGGAGGGGTGTTGAAAGACCTGAGTCAGATTGAGGTGACGAGAGAGGAGGTCCTAAAACTGATAAACAACTTAAAAACTGATAAATCACCAGGCCCAGATGGCATACATCCAAGAGTTCTGAAAGAACTCAATTGTGAACTTGTGGATCTCCTGACAAAAATATGTAATCTCTCCTTAAAATCAGCCTCCATTCCTGAGGACTGGAAGGTAGCTAATGTCACTCCCATCTTTAAAAAGGGTTCCAGAGGAGATCCGGGAAATTACAGGCCTGTCAGTCTGACGTCGATACCGGGTAAATTGGTGGAAACCATTATTAAGGAAAGAATTAGTAGGCACATAGATGAACAAAACCTATTGAGGCAGACTCAACATGGGTTCTGTAAGGGAAGATCTTGTCTCACTAACCTGTTAATGTTCTTTGAGGGGGTGAACAAACATGTGGACAAGGGGGATCCAATAGATATTGTTTACCTTGACTTCCAGAAAGCTTTTGATAAGCTGCTGCCAGAGCAACATTTTAAAGAATCTGCACAGTTCATTGAATCTCCAGTGGCCAATCAGAAGCCTCGCTGGGCAAAAGCCCTATCTGACCCCGCCCACTTTCTAAACACACTGGGTGGGTCCCAGGATAGGTGTCAGCAGGCACCACTGTAGCCATGGATGCCACATTGGGGGCGGGGAGGGCTGTTCTATAGGCAAGAAGGTGAATGTGAGCAGCAACATGGCTTCTCAGGAGTCCAAAATTGTGATAGGTCACGTTTCTTTTCTCTTGGTAAGCATGAAAAATGGATCTCAGACTTCTACAGGGATCATAGGAGCTGGGAAAGTGGTTTGCAGGTCAATTTATTCACTTTAGAGCCTGCCCCTCTCACAGAGACTCTAGTAGGATTGCACGGTCTCGATAAATGCAACCAATAGGATTATATCAATGGTGCGACCTCATTTGGAATACTGTGTGCAGTTCTGGTCACCACACCTTAAAAAGGATATTATAGCTTTGGGAAAAGTGCAGAAAAGGGCAACTCGAATGATAAAGGGGTTGGAACACTTTCCCTATGAGGAACGGTTAAGGCGCTTAGGGCTCTTTAGCTTGGAGAAACGACGACTGAGGGGTGACATGATTGAGGTTTATAAGATTATGCATGGGAAAGAGCAGGTAGAGAAAGAGGTACTTTTCTCCCTTTCTCACAATACATGAACTCGTGGGCACTCCATGAAATTGCTGAGCGGTCGGGTTAGAATGGATAAAAGGAAGTACTTCTTCACCCAAAGATTGATTAACACTTGGAATTCACTGCCACAGGAAGTGGTGGGTGCTACAAGCATGGACGGCTTCAAAAGGGAATTAGATAAGCATATGGAGCAGAGGTCCATCAGTGGCTATTAGCCACAAGGTATAGATAGGGACTCTGGGGCAAGTGATGCTCTGTCATCTTGGTGCTTGGGGGGGGTCAACAGTGGGAGGGCTTCTAATGTCCTGGCCCCACTGGTGGACCTCCTGATGGCACTGGTATTTCTGGCCACTGTGTGATACAGAGTGTTGGACTGGATGGGCCTTTGGCCTGATCCAACATTGGCATCTCTTATGTTCTTATGTTCTTACCTCACAGGGTGCCTGTTGTGGGGAGGGGAAGGGAAAGGAGTTTGTAAGCCGCTCTGAGACTCCTTTGGGTAGTGAAGGGCGGGGTATAAATCCAATCTCTTCTTCTTCTTCTGTAGCTTGTGGCTTGGTGTGTTTTTTTAATGTTGTTTTCCTTTGCATAGTGAGAGACACCTTTGGGTAGTGAAGGGCGGGGTATAAATCCAATCTCTTCTTTTTCTTCTTCTTCTTCTTTTCCTCCTATTCCCTCCTGGCCTCATGACCCATCAACAAGAGAGTTCTGACCCACTTTTGATTCCATGTAGTCTTAATACTTACCCCTGGAGAGCTTGTTCTGTGGCTAGACATCTCCTGACCAACTGATTCTACTAGACTTGGGTGTCTTAGGCTGCAATCATACGCACAATTAGACCCAACATAGGTTCGAATGCTGGGCGGATTTGAAGGGCGCAATCAGATGACAGCATCTGGGAAGTGCCCCGCAGTCGTCGGCAACCCGTTCTGCTCCGCCGCAGAAGCAGAGTTAAAAGACACTGGGGGAAATCCGGTAGTAAACGGGTTGCGACGGGCCACAGACGGACTTTCCCGTGTCTGATCGCTCCAGCGCACTCTCATTCCATCAGGATGGTCTGATCAGGCCATCTCAACTCCATGCCGTTGTTTCTCCCCCCCTTTTGCAGTATGCGCATCATCGCAAACTCCACAGGGAGCCCGCAGTGCAGAGGTGCGATTCATCGTTTCCTCGTTTAAGCGCATGACGGGGGGGGGGGGAGGGGCACACCCCCCCGTGACGACTCAACCGCAGTTGCGTCTGATCACCCACTGGCGGACTGCACCCGCAGCTTTGAAGGGAGGTGTGCTCGTGCAACTGCAGGTCAAATTCTTCCGGAGGAAACAGCCTCGCTCCCCCCCCCCAGTTCATCTGGTGTGTGTGACCGCACCCTTCACGAAACACTTGCACTTTCTAGATGATGTCATTACAATCCCGGTTTGTACCACTTGTAGTCCCAGCAGGGGAAAGGACCATCTCATCTGTGCCGCAGGGCCCCCCCCCCACTTGAAATGCCCTCATTTTGTTTCTTCAGGGGTCGTATCAAGCACCTCGATGTGGTGGCCCTGCTGCGCCGGATACAGCCACCCTTGGGTTTCGGGAAGCTCTGCCCCCACCGTGTGGCCTGCAAGGTAATCCCCCGCCTATATGGCTGTGACTCCTAGATTCTCTCTTGCAGCCTGAATAGCCCTGATTAGCCTGAGACTTGTTAGAGCTCGGAAGCTAAGTAGGGTAGGCCATGGTTACTACTTGCATGGGAGACCTCCAAGGAAGTCCAGGGGTGCTACGCAGAAGCAGGCAATGGCAACCCACCTTTGACCCACTCTTGCCTTGACCTTGGTTGGGCCGGACTAGCCTGATGTCATCAGATCTCAGAAGCTAAGCAGGGTCAGTCCCAGTTAGTACTTGCATGGGAGGCCACTGAGGAAATTAAGGGTTGCTACGCAGAGGCAGGCAACAGCAAACCACCTCTGTTCATCTCTTGCCTCGATCAGGATGGGCCAGACTAGCCTGATGTCAACAGATCTCGGAAGCTAATCAGTCAGTCCCAGTTAGTACTCGGATGGGAGACCACTGAGGAAATGAAGGGTCGCTACGCAGAGGCAGGCAACAGCAAGCCACCTCTGTTCATCTCTTACCTTGATCAGGATGGGCCGGACTAGCCTGATGTCATCAGATCTTGGAAGCTAAGCAGGGTCAGTCCCAGTTAGTACTCGGATGGGAGACCACTGAGGAAATTAAGGGTTGCTACGCAGAGGCAGGCAATAGCAAGCCACCTCTGAACATCTCTTACCTCGATCAGGATGGGCCAGACTAGCCTGATGTCAACAGATCTCGGAAGCTAATCAGTCAGTCCCAGTTAGTACTCGGATGGGAGACCACTGAGGAAATGAAGGGTCGCTACGCAGAGGCAGGCAACAGCAAGCCACCTCTGTTCATCTCTTACCTTGATCAGGATGGGCCGGACTAGCCTGATGTCATCAGATCTTGGAAGCTAAGCAGGGTCAGTCCCAGTTAGTCCTCGGATGGGAGACCACTGAGGAAGTCCAAGGTTGCTATGCAGAGGCAGGCAACAGCAAGCCCCCTCTGTTCATCTCTTACCTTGATCAGGATGGGCCGGACTAGCCTGATGTCATCAGATCTTGGAAGCTAAGCAGGGTCAGTCCCAGTTAGTCCTCGGATGGGAGACCACTGAGGAAGTCCAAGGTTGCTATGCAGAGGCAGGCAACAGCAAGCCCCCTCTGTTCATCTCTTACCTTGATCAGGATGGGCCGGACTAGCCTGATGTCATCAGATCTTGGAAGCTAAGCAGGGTCAGTCCCAGTTAGTCCTCGGATGGGAGACCACTGAGGAAGTCCAAGGTTGCTATGCAGAGGCAGGCAACAGCAAGCCCCCTCTGTTCATCTCTTACCTTGATCAGGATGGGCCGGACTAGCCTGATGTCATCAGATCTTGGAAGCTAAGCAGGGTCAGTCCCAGTTAGTCCTCGGATGGGAGACCACTGAGGAAGTCCAAGGTTGCTATGCAGAGGCAGGCAACAGCAAGCCACCTCTGTTCATCTCTTGCCTCGATCAGGATGGGCCAAACTAGCCTGATGTCAACAGATCTCGGAAGCTAATCAGGGTCAGTCCCAGTTAGTTCCTCAGACCTCTGAGGAAATTAAGGGTTGCTACGCAGAGGCAGGCAACGGCAAACCACCTCTGTTCATCTCTTATCCTGATCTAGATGGCCTAGGCTAGCCCGGTCTTGTCAGATCTCAGAAGTTAAGCAGGGTCGGCCCTGGTTAGTACTTGGATTGGCTGGCCACCAAGGAAGTCCAGGGTTTCTATGCAGAGGCAGGCAGTGGCAAACCCCCTCTGCTCGTCTCTCGCCTTGAAAACCCCTTGGGGGTTGCCATAAGTTGGTCTGACCCAACGGCAGGAGAATAGGGTTTGGTGGTCAGGGTGACGGATGAACCTAGTGAAGAAGCTGAGTAAGCAACAGCGAGGAGGGGTGACCTGGGGGGTGGGCCCGGGAGTCTTGGATTCCATCTGTTGTCTCTGCAGAGACTGGTGGCGATGAACATGCCCCTGAACTCCGACGGGACCGTCACCTTCAACGCTACCCTCTTTGCCTTGGTGCGGACGTCCCTCAAGATCAAGACGGAAGGTGAGCTGCTGGGGTCCCACAAGCCCATTTGCCTGGCTGCAACCACCAGGGGTCATTTCGTAGAAAAAGAGGTGCAGGAGCTCATTAGCATAACTCATTAGCATAGCTCATTTGCATATGCCACACACCCTGACATCACCGGAAGTGTGTCAGATGGCAACACCCACCGCTCAGGCTCCATTGGACTGTTTTGGATTGCTAGCTATTTGGAGAGGGGTGGAACGTGCAGATCTGTCCTCGCAGAGGAGGGAGAGCTTGTACCTGAATAAAACTTGGTCTTAAAGGTGCCACTGGACTGTTTTGGGCCAGGGGGCCAGGGTGGGGGCCTCTGCACCTTACCTGGCTGCTTCTTGCTCTGACCGAGGGCTGCTGGGAGCAGGGGGTGGGGCTTGTTGCATGTGCCCGCCCCCTGGGCTCTTTACTGCCGGAGCTCCGCTCCTGTGCGCTCCTGCAGGAAAAGACCCCTGGCAACCACCAATGTTCCCTCTAAGCTGTGGAGGCTTGTGAGCAAAAATTCCACTTTGCGAGCCACTGGCGTTAAACTTGTGAGCGAGCGATTGGGCCGCTGCATCAATTAGTCGGCTCTGGAGCTCTCCTCCCTGAGCCAAGGCAAAAGTGTGTGAGCCGGAGGCTAAGAAACGGTGAGCTGGCTCACACTCACTCAGCTTAGAGGGAGCACTGGCAACCACCCCTCCGACTTCTAGACGACAGCTCTGCCCTGTTTGGCGTGCCCAGGAGAAAGATCCCTTCCTTGGAATGAGACTGCTGAAGTTGGTGATACACCAGGAAATTGAGGGCCCCGCCTCTCCCCAACCTCTGCCTTTCCTTGGCTCCACCCCCAGATCTCCAGAGAGTTCCCAGCCTAGAGCTGGCAACTCTGCAGTTGTGCGGTGAACTGGCTTTGCTT